ATTATTTATTTAATTTAATTATATTAATAATTTTATAAAATTCATACCTCTTTTCTCAAGTTTTGTTCTATTTCTTGAGGTTTTTAGTACTTTAATAGCATCGCACATATTAAACATTTTAATTTTTCAAAAAGATTTGATTGGTGCATATTGGTCAAATCTTTCATTGTCATTTCTGAATGAGCAAATAAGATTATCAGTCATACGTAGATCAAGGAGTAAATATTTGATCGTCACACCTAAAATTCCATAAATTAAAGCTTATCGTTATCCTATTTTTTAAGTTTAACTGTCACATAAACTCTATAAGAACTTTTTGGTGTTAGTGTGCACAAAGATTTTTTTTTTGCTATTGTACTATTTGCAGGATTTTTTTTTTTCACTAAATAAAGATCGGAAGCATTTTCCCGCAATTTATGTATAAAATTTAGCTATTGGTATACGGAACATTTGACTGATACTTAATTTTTTTTTGCATGTGACAAATCATAACTGATATTAAATAACTGATTAATAAATTTTTATAATTCTGATTCAAAATGTCTTTTGACGGAGAATTGGCAACCTTACGACGACAAGTGGAAAATTTTAAAAATCTTAATGCTTCGGTAAGTTTTTTTTTTATTATTATTATGTCGCTTTATGTTAATATGAAGCTTGAATAAGCCCGGCAAATCCGTTTCTTTTTTTTTTTTGAAAAATTAATAAATAAAGACCGGGGTATACAAAAACCGGAGCATTTATAAAAATTTCTTGATATATACCGGTTATAAAATGTATAGAATTTCGGCTTATTTGAGATTCGTACTTTATGTGATAAATGATAATATTGAAATTCTTAATATACATGCACCCTTAAAATAGGTTCGTGAACAACTTGAACGCGTCAGCAAAGAAAACTCTACATTAACGGATGATAATAACTTTCTCCGCAAAAAGAATTATTCTCTACAACAAGAAATTGCAAATCATCACAATGAATACGCACGAATTGAATCTGAACTTTATCAGCAAGGACAGGAAGTGGAAGGACTAAAAAAAAAAAATCATAACGTTTTGAAAAACACACAAGAAATAGAACAAAACTTGAGAAAAGAGGTATGAATTTTATAAAATTATTAATATAATTAAATTAAATAAATAAT